CAGCCGCCACCAGGATAAGCAGCATGTAAAGACGCCGGTAAGCCATGAACCACGTGGCAAGGTATAGATTTATGGAAATGGATTAATTTAAGCTATAAGAACAGTAAGCAAGAAGCCTGCCACAGCCATACAGTTTGTAAGCAATATAAGTCTCTGTGCTTACTTGGTTGGGTCTGAGTGCCTGTGGGACTGGCGGGTGACAGAGATTTATCCTGACTGTGGGCAAGGCAGGAAAACTCTAGCTACAGTTTTCTTACATTTTCAGAGGGTAAGTCCATGACATCACGGTGGGAAGCATGATGGCCGGCAGGCATGGTGCTGGAGCGGTAGCTGAGAGCTCACATCTAATCTGCAAGTTGCAGGCAGAGAGTGTGCTAGACTGGGCCCGGCGTGAACTTTTCAGAATCATAGCCCACCCCAGTGACACACCTCCTCCAACAAGGCCACACCTCCTAATTCTTCTCAAACAGTTCCACCAATATTCAAATATGTGAGCCTGTGGGACCCATTCACATCAAACCCTCACACCAACCTTTCAGCAGGTCATTTTTGTTTACTTCTACTTTGGCCTCAGGAAGTTGAGGCTGAGAAGAGGGTTCAGATGCTGACAATGCCCTGGTGTCCTGGACCCTCCACGGCACCCCCCTCCCATCTTCAATAAACGGGCCCGTAAAGTTTTTTTGGTGTATGGCCCCAGCTTCTACAGTTCTAGTTCACATAGATTGTAGCTGCAGGGCCACAGGGCACGTAGAAGGTTGGGGAAGTGAAGGGCCAGCAGCCTGGAGCCCTCAGAGGCCCCATGCTGTGTGAAGGAGAAGAGAAAGGGACTATCCCAAGTGAAGCTCCCTCAGGATGAAGCCCACACCAAAGCCCACCAGCCCCTCCATCTTCACTTTACCTATCAGGCACCTGTGTGGGGCTCACCACACATCAACATAACCCAAATGTATAAGAAAAACTAACTCCTTGGTCCCTTGAAACATCCTGTAATATTTACCTACCTAACAGATGAGGAAACTAAGATAGAGAGAGATCGCAGAGCTAACACAGGCAGAGTCGGGGGTCTGGACGCACCACATGGCCCCGGAGTCTGCGCTCTCACTGCTCTACTCTGCAGCCTCAGTTTCTCCATTTTTTCTGTTCCACAGATGGATGGACTTTCTCACCCATCACGGTTTCCGAGCTCATGTCTCTGACCAGTGTCCCCTGATTACCTTGTGTGATCCGCATAGCCTTAGGTACTGTGTGTTCCTTGCTTAGTTGCTGGGACAAACACCTTATAAAAGCAACGTAAGGAAGAAAGCGTCTATTTTGGCTCGTCCTATGAGGGCTCAGTCCATCACGGCAGGGAAGTCACGGAAGCAGGGTCACGGGAACAGCTGCTCACATTGCGGTGACAGTCAGGACGAAGAGTGATGAGGATGGTCCTTGGCCCGCTTCCTTCACGTTACTCAAATGGTCATCCCAGTTTATAGAATGACCCTGCCCAAATTTAGGGTGGGGCTTCTCACTTTAATTAATCCAATGGCAAAATTCCTCACAGACATGCCCAGGGGCTTGTTTTCCTAGGTCACTGTAGAGCTAGTCAGGTTGACAATCAATATTAACCATTACAGGTACCCAGTGCTCTCTCATGCTCTCCCCGTGGTGATGCTGTGGCCCCAGCCAGCTAAGTGGGCACTCCTGTGTTCACAGAGAACTTGACACGCAGGTCCATGCAGATAGTCTTGGACCCAGGGCTCATCCTAGAAGGTGTCACCGTCCCAGAATGAGTGTCCAATATGTGGCATATGACTTGGTCTAGTTCAGGAAACACTGGGGAATGGAGAGGGAGAGAATGAAACACACTATCTCCAGGCAGGGGGACAATCACGTTCCATCCCTTGTCCTTAGAAGCTCAGAATCGGGTGGAGAAACTGAGTCACCGCCAGCTCTAATCCACAGGCATACATTAGAAGGGAGGGGCAGGAGCCTTCACAGAGACAGGCCCCAGAATAGACCTGGTACTGTCTACTGCAGTGGGGAGGCTTCTTGGAGAAGCCAGCCTGTATACTAAGTTTTACGGGATGGGACAGTCATCCCCTGGTGGAAAGGGACGCATGCAGGGGCTATGGGCTGCTGGAGCCAGAGACCTGGGTGGGAAAGCATCAAGAATCTGCATGTGCGGTGAGCTCAGCTGAGCCCCCTCAACAGTGAGCAGCGTGAGGGTAAGGTCACCGCCGCCTGCTGAGCCTCCGTGCCTCCTGCCCCTGCTGAGCACTGTGCCCACGCATCACACACACAGGTTATCCAGCAGAGAAGCTTTATACAGCAAGGTGGCCTGTTTAGAAAAAGAATGCCAAGTGACTGCTAACTGTCAGCCTGCAAGCGAGTGTCCATCTGGGGTGAGAACACAGAGTGCCTGGTGCACGTCCACTGCAGAGCTTCTGTGAATCTCTCTGGCTGGATGCACAAGGTTCTCAGGAGCAGCGGGGCACACAGAAGGCTACTGTTTCCCATCAGCCTCCGGGCATGGGTTCCAAGCCAGTCCATGCATTGACATCCTCCCAGACAAGCCACTACCAGTCATACCACTGTCACACTGTGGCCTCCCTAGTCACAAAAGACCAAATTGCCCCAGATCAGAAGACTCCTTCTCCTCCAGAGGGGCAGGCAGGGGGCAAATGTGGGCGTTTGAGACCTGAGTGCTGGTCACCGCTCGGTGACCTTGAGAGGGTCTCAGGAGTCACCCGATGAGGCTGTGTTCTGAAAAGCATTTTTCTTTTTGACATTCTGTTCCTCTGACCCCCCGAGGAGGCTGTCCCAACAGGGGCAGCCAGACAGCTCTACTCTGAGAACCTCATTCATTCATCTCTTTACGCTGAGGTCTCTCAAGGGCCACCAGGCATCAGCGGCGCCATGGTGGGCGGGGACATACATCCCCAGAGTAGCTCCCAGCCATAAGGGGTGGGGGGAATGAGGCATGGACATGCCTAAAGAATCTTCCAGGCGCGTGAACCAGACCAAAGGCTGCCTCGGAGTTCAGGAAGGCATCTCAGAGAAGGTGACATTTTTTTACTCAATTCTTGTGTGCCAGCCTAGGCTCTGAGACACAGCAGTAAAGAAAACTAGTGAGCACTGGGTCTCGAACTCTACCTTCAGTCCTCCAGGGAAGCGGGAATGAACTCGGGGTGGGGTGCATGGCAGCCCAGGAGGACCCTAAGAGCAGTCACTTGGAGGAACTGTGTGGAGACAATACGCCTCACTTGCTCTTCAGTCTGAGAGAGGGGAGATGTAGAGGCAGAGAGAAGAGGCGGAAAGACAAGGCAGCTGGCAGGGGTCAAAACAGAAGGGCTACAGTAGCGGGCTAGGAGCTCATGGCTTGGTGGTGCCGCCAGCTCAAAGCTGAAGAAGGTTCCTGGCAAAAAGGGAAGGTGTAAGGGATCTTCGCACCATCACCAGGTTGAATACAGGCATTTTCGGTCTCCAAGCAGGCCTTACGCCACTCATCTCTTGGGCTATGTTTTAAAGACACTCGTTTTCCCACGGAACTCCATCATGTCAACAGTGGATTCAAAATGTCTCATGGCTCTCCTTTCACAAAATCCACTCCAGGCTCCCCCTCGGCTTCACCTTCAGCATCATCTGGCTGGGCTCTGGACTCCTTTGGCTAAGTCTGAACTGCCCATCGACTCTTCCTCAGAGCATAGCTCTCTCCTGCGGCCAGGATTTCCCCAGGAGCACAGTCCATTCCTGCTAACTTGCTAACTCATTTTGACCTCGGCAAGCCTGTCCCCTGCTCTGGGAAGCCTCTGCTAACCAACACAAGGTACAGACTCAGAAAGGTGTCCCTTCTGCCAGGAATGCCATCCCTTCCATCTTCTAAGCCCACTGCCCATCTGGTTCCTCACTCATCCCCCTGCCAAGCTGCAGCATCTTGAATTTATTTATCACTGTTATTATATTTTGTGAGACAGGGTCTCATGCAGCCCACACTGGTTTTGAATTCACTATGTAGTTGAGGATGACCTTGAACTGACTGAACATCACCACAGGAGGCTAAAGCCTTTCAAAGCAAGTCTAGCCCACGAATGTCACAGAGATGGTGGGTAGACTACTAGACCAGCAACGGGGATCTGGGGCACATCACGTGGCTTCTTCAGTCTTGGTTCTCAGCAGTGACATGGAGCTCCACGCATAAGATTGGTGTGAGGTTTACAGATGAAGCTGTGCTGTGCTGCCTCATCCTAGGGCTCCCCAGGCCCATTAGTGACATATGCCCCGCCCGCGCGCACTCGCAAACGTTCATTCATATATCAAACCCCTTCACGCCTGCTCAGTACCGGCACAGGACGCTGGGGCCTCTAAGACAGGGCTGAGGCGGGGAAGCCGGTGCGCAGCCTACAGACGTCACGATTCGAGGTGATTTGTCCTCATACACCTCCGCTCTTATTTTTGAAACTAATAACGACGCTCCTCCCTAAGCCGCCGGACGCTGAGAAAGGGGAAGTGTGGGAAACAGATCTGCTCTTTATTTTTAAAAACTTCTTTTGCACCGCTTCCTAAAATCTGAACCTTTCACTGCTCTCAAATGCAGCTCCGTGCAAGGAGCTGCTAGGAGGAGCCAAAGGCCAGCAGCAGCACGCCACGCCCCGGGTTCCACCACCCAGGGACATCTCAGCCCCAACCTCGCCTCTTCCGTGCCTCGCTCTCGCGAGTTGCGGTCAACATAGGACCCTCGCGCTTCTCCCTCCATCCTGGTCCCCAGGCGGCCCGCTCCCGGGCTGCCCACCGCATTCATTGTCCTCCTCCAGCCCCACCAGTCCACGCGATCACCAGAGTTCCGCCCTCTTTCCACTCTGCCATTGGCTCCCGCTGCCCAACCGCGAGGGGACCCGCCTAGCAGAGTCCTGCACGCCCCGTCTTTGGCCGCGGACCGGCTAGGGGCGGGCACTCTGGTGGCCCCACCCTTTGGGGCGGGGCCAGGCTCGCTGGCGCTCGGGCGCTGTCTCGGCGGGGCTCGGCTCGGCTCGGCTCGGTCTGCAGCTCGGGTGGGGGTGGGCGGCTAGGGTGACAGCCGCGGTGGCAGAGGCTGCGGCGCCGGGCTTGAGCAAGCGACGAGCGCGGAGCGGGTAAGAGGAGGAAGTGGAGCGTCGGCGAGGAGCTCCAGAGTCCGCCGCCGGGCTAGGTCCGCCCAGATTTGCAGAGCGAGCCGTGTCGGGACCTGGGCAGACTTTGCCGTGCTCCGGCCGCTGGCGCCCAGCCTGTCCTGCCCTGCCCTGCTGGTCCGAGCTCGGTGTTCCGCGCCTGGACTTTCCCAGCCCGGTGGTCCGCAGCTGCTTGACCCGGAGCTCCGAGGCGGGACGCGCCCAGCCCCATCATACCGACCCTTCTCCGCCCGTGTGCCCTCCGCCCCCGGGTCGGCGCAAGGTGGCCCCAGCTCCCGGACCTGAGTGTAAAGGAGCCGGGACGCCCACCGGCCTCCGGCTCCTGGAAAACCAAACCTTCAGCTGCCTTGGACCCGACTGTTCCGGACTTGAAACTGTACTGGCGCCGCCCGAGTCCAGCGCACCGTGAGGGGTCCCAAGCAGGCAGGACAGTCAGACTGAACCCCTGGGCTGGTGCTACGAGCCGAAGCTTCCACCTTCCTCCGCCCTAGGCTAAGGACTTGGGGGTGCTTGCACCAAAGAGAACACAGAAGCTTCTTCTGCCCCAGTCTCCAGCGAGCCGAGGTTGCAGGTGAGAGCCCCGGATGCGCGGCGGGAGCGGTCCGGGTCCCCGGCGCCTAGAGACCGGGCCCGGGTCAGTGGAGGGCGTGGAGGGGACACCCGCAGAGAGTCAACTATTTAGGAGAAGGCGCGCAAAAGATAGTAGAAACAGGCACTTATTGAGTGCCCATTGTGTGCAGGTCCGAGCCCCGCCCTTGCACAAATCGTTCCTTATCCGAAGCTCCGCGCTACCCCTCCCTGAGATAAAAGCTGTTGTGATTGTTATGGGCTCGGACCGATGGGGAAACTGAGGCATGACAGGGCTGAGGATCTCTGCTCTCCGTGCGGAGGATTTGACCGGGGAGAAGGGAGAAGATAGAGAGAGAGCAAAGAAGGAGGGGAGAAGAAAGGAAGTAGACAGACTGCAAACAAGAGGTTGGCAAGGTGGGGCTACGGGGGCGGGGGGCATCCAAAATCCAAGCGCTGATCTTGAAGCTGCAGAGGTACTTCTCCTTACCAGCGACTCTTGGATTATGGACCGGTCACCTCCCAGGAAAAGTGACCCAGCGTTGAGGGCAGAGGTGGGAAGCTTCCCAGTTCCAAAAGATCTCTTCCTGGGGTCCAGGTTGGAGGAACAACCTGCCTCCCAGAGTCGGGGTCCCCCAAGTTACTGAAGTATTCTTACCTGTTAGGGGCTCACCATGTTGGTCCCCAAGCCACAGCCATAAGGAAGCTGGAGTTGTTACCCCTCAGAACTCACCCACCTTCCCTTCTTGACGTTATTAATGGGGACACTAAAGACTTGCGGGGAGCACAGTTGGTCCAGGCCCTAAAGCCAGTGAGTGGTTGAGCCAGAAGCAGACCTGAAAAAGATTTCCAAACATCCATCAAGGGTCCTCTCCCCTTCCCAGCTCATACTTTTCTGGGTTTGTGGCTGGGGTTTCCCCACCCTCAGTATGAGGTTGGGGTGACCATGTATGAGGCTGCAGTGAGCATGTGTGGTTGGCGCTGGGGCTCAGATCAAGGCCTGACCTCAGTTTCTGTGACTGCAGAGGAACCTGCAAGACCCTCTGGCCCAGGAGAGAACTTCTCCAGGTCTTAAGGTTAGGGTTGCCAGGTGTGGGGATACAGTCCAGCTGTGCTGCTTCCCAGGCAGAGGTTCCTCTCACTGGCTCTCGATCTGTGTCGGACAGGGGTATTGTGAAAGAGCGTTTGGCACAGACCCTGTGGGGCTCTTGTTCTGGGTGGGGAGGGGGAGGCATATGGCCTTGGTCTGGGCACTGTGGCCTTGGCTGGGACTACTTAACCTTTGTTGTGCTGGACTCCCTGGAGTCTGGGGAAACCACCTGGGAAAGCACCTGGGAGATGGAGTGGGGTCTCAAAGACTAGACGCCTGTTCCTGGGGTTGGAGGGGTTCTGGGAGCCTGGGAGGTGATTAAGGGGCTTGGGATTCCCCCTCCCCCACCTCTGCCTGGGGATTCAGATCCTCATAATAATCCTTGCACCTAAACAGAGCGCTCCTTTGGTGAACTAATTTTCACACCTGTGATCTCATCTCACCGGTGCTGGAAAGAGCTGGGAACCTCAGGTGAGGCGGAGCAGGGGCTTGGGGGGAAGCCTCCTTCTGATGCCCCACCTGTGAAGTGGGGTCAGAACACTGTTACCAGCTCAGATAACGAGAAGATCCCATAGACAAGCGGTTGCGCGCTGAGGAGTTCGTGCCCAGTATGAGCTTGTTATTTGGGGCGACCCTACGTGGGAAACTGAGGCTCAGAGAGGTGAAATCTTTGCCTGCTGAGTTTGCTCCAGGAGCTATCTGATCATCCACAGTCTGCCGAGTGGTGTGGAAATCACTCAGATGGGCTAAGTGGCCCGTGGTCAGTGCTGTGGTGATGAGCCTACCCTGCCTCCTGGCCATGGGGCAGCCATGTCACTCCCCGAGAGCCCTCTGCTTTCCTGTGAGGGTGGAATAGTTCTTCTACCAAGACTAACTGAGCTACGGATCCCCCCAGCGCCTGGCCACCATCCATTTCCTTCCCTGTGGAGAAAGGAAACTGGAGTTTTGACCAGGAAGTCTGGAAAATCCTCAAACGTGCCTGACGCTACAACACAGGTGGCAGTGGCAGGCTGAGAGACTTCGACTTGCTTAGCTGGGCCCCGGGCAGGCCATGTACTCCCTGCGCCGCCTTGTCTAGTTACAGAGCCTCCCAGGATCGGTTTGGGGACACTGGGAAGGGGCTCTGGATTCTAACCGTCCTCACACCCACTGTGGCTTCCTGTGGGGCAGGAGCTGGTGTCCATTCCCTTTGCCCCATTGTCTGGCCTCTCTAAGCACAGGGTGCAGTGAATAATTTATCATTGCCCTCCCTGGGAAGCAGGCTAGGGAAATAGCTGCGCTCTGCTGTGCTTCCGTCCCCTCAGAGGAGGCCAGTGGCTCCTGATTGTGTCTCGGTCCAGGTTATGCTGAGTGTGCGTGTGTGTGTGTGTGTGTGTGTGTGTGTGTGTGTGTGTGTGTGTGTGTAGGAGCAATATGGAGCAGGACAAGGAGAGAAGGACCTACCATCCGACCTCCCCAGCTCTCTACCGTTGGGGGCGGGGGAGATACCTATAGGCAACAGCGGGAACCAAGGTAGCTGAGCTAGGATCAAGCTTCAGGCCTCAGATTCTAGAGATGTGGAGGAAGGGGAAGGGAGAGTGACCAGGGAGGTCCTCAGGGAATCCTGCTTGTGCCCTTCTGCTCAGAGACTGGAGGCCGAGACACCTGACCATACGCGACCACTACTTCTCCCCTCTGTAAAATTAGCACAGTGAGGCTCACTTCTCAAGTTCGTCATGGGTGACCCTAGGGTCACATAGGTAAAACCCTAGGCAGCAATGGTGGTCAGTCAAGGCGAGTGAGTCGGTGTGTGTCGGGGAATGAAACGTCATGGTGGGTGGAGGGGTGAGGAGAATTCTGGAGGGTGATGCTGGGGTAGTGATTCAGAGTCAGAAGGCTGAGCGATCGGGTGGGAGAGGAGTGGAGGCCATTTAGAACCCTCTGTGCAGTGGGGACCAGGCCTTGGGTGCGGCCTTTGCCAGCCATAGCCACCAGTGGGACCTCAGGTCCCTTGCTCATCACTGTTGAACACACCACATGTGACCACTGAGCTACCCTTTTGCTTGTGGGATGGTCTGGACCACATCCCTGCCCCTTCTCTGTTCACTTCTCTATCTGCTTGGGCCCAGTTTGGGTCACAAATCCTGCCCCCAAATGCTCCTGGGTTGTCCAGCCCTCTGGGGTGCCCCCTGTAAATGTTTAACACTTCATGGTAAACGTACCGATAAAAGTAATAATACTCTACAGTTTAGGAAATGCATGCACAATTAGTTCTACTGTGGTGACGTTAGTAATAGCCAATGCCCTTCAGTACTTAGGATGGGCTGCACACTGTGCTGAGCACTTTAGACACTATCCATCGTGGTAACTCTGCAAAATGGCTGTTTCTGCCGAGAGGCTGGAGCTCAGAGAGGTGCTCTGTCTTGCCCAAATTCTTACAGCTAAACATCAGGGGACAGGGAGCCAGGCCTGCCTCTATTTCAACTGGAAATCTTTGCTCCTCTCTGCCACTGAATGGACACTTAGCCAGCTTCTAGGAGATGCTCTATGGCCTCAACTGTACTCAGTACCTCGAAAGCGTTCTTTGCATGTGATGAGCCTAGACTCAAGCCTTCTTACCTAAGCCAACGTATGGCCGTGCTGGACTGAGTATAGTCCCCAGGAAGGAACCCGGGTCCCGGGCTCTGTGCTGGCTGGCAGAGTGTATTGCCTGCAGTGAGTCGGCCCCTCTGTGTCTTGTTTAGTGTCCCAGCCTTCTGCAGTGCCCTTCATGACCCTGGCAGGAGGTAGAGGTCACTGTACAGGGCCGAAGGATGTGGTGGGACAGGCAGCTGTGATTTTGGCCTCGCTGATATCTGGGCCAGGAGCACTGTGGTCACTTGAAGGAGGGTGGTGGCCTGGGCTGCAGGCAGCATGGTCATTAGCTATGATTGAGAGCTGGCGGGGCTAGGCCAGCTTGGCAGGACTAGAGGCCAGCTGGCCCGGCCACTGTGGGGTCATTGGCAGGGCAGCTGGCTTCTCCTTGCTATGCTGCCCGTAGGGTGCCAGGGCTTTGTGAGCCATGGCGTGCCCGCTGTTCTGTTATAGTTAGGGGAGGACTGGTAGAGTCCTTCCAGACCTGGAGATCCCTCCACCCAGAAGCCCTTGGGACTCCTCTCAAGCAGGTGGGGTTCAACCCTCCTCGGTTGCTGGCCCAAGGCCCCTGTTTACCTGACTAACCCGGCGAGGGGATGGATCTCCCTGCTAGCCAGCCTGCAGAACCCCTCCCCTGAGTGCCCAGCAGTTTGTTTGGTACAAGGCAGCTGTCCTAGGACAGAGGAAGCAAGTGGCCCCTGGCCCAAGTCTTTCACCTCTGGAGTCTGTTTTCTTACCTCTAAGATGAGCTGATAATAGCAATGTGTGAGGTTTAGCGAGATGCAGACAGAGGACCTGCCGAGGTCTACACACAGGCAGGCACACGGTCAGCGAATCCCCTTGCCTTTCCCTCTTTGGCCTCATGAACTAATGACTCTGTAAGAAGCTAACTGAAGAGCCCAGCGACTGGATCCAGGGCATGGCAGGGAGGACTCCCTGGGGGAGGATTTTTAGGTGAATTTAGATGGGAGCTGCTGCTTTCCATCTTCATGTGTGAGCGTGAGCAGACAGTTGTTGGTCTGGGAGGGACCTTGAGCTGGGACTGGGGCAGGGAGTAGGACCGAGATGTCTGGGGGCCTGGGTATCTCTTCTCATACCCCGTGTGGCAGCAATGATCAACTGAGACAAGCCTTTGGGATCCAGCCAATAGCTGCATTACCCTCCCCTCCATCCGCCCACAGGTGACACTACTGGAGACTATGGGCTGTGGGGGAAACATACTGACCACAGGTAAACACGTGAGTGCCAAAATCCCAAGCCGAGAAGTGATTTCCTGAGGCTGGGCTGGTCCCACTCACAAG